CAGAATTAAGGATTATTTTAATGTTACATCATTGCCTTTTCTCTTTTACTTTCCTTTTTGGTTTTATTTTAGGGTTCCCTATTTTTAATGTTCATAAAGAGATTTCTTTAACTGAAATACCGAATAGTTTCTTTGGTGTGAAAACTATAATAGTACACAGGATCCTAATGAGATAATTAATAATGTGAAATAGGAAGTAAAGGGCTAAAGGTGTAGGGAAAGTGGGAAGGGTGGGGAAAAGGTAATAAGGGAGAGGAAAAAAATTTGAGAAACTGAAAAAATGGAAATAAAATGTTTGTAAATGGGAAGGGGAGGAGGGGGTGAAGGGAGGGCAGGGACAAGGGGAAAAATGAGAATCAAGACCTATTATGTAAAGGTACAGAATCCCAATGATGAATGTAACTGCATTGTATACATAGATTGTACCAATAAACTCAATTAGAAAAAAGAAATTGAGTTCATTTGAGAATATAAAGATCCTAAACAAAATTAGTCCAATGAGTTTCCCAAATGCATTCATTTACTGGGAACAAGAAAATCAACTTTGATGTGTGTGTGTCTGTGTGTGTGCCAGGGATGGAACTCAGAACCTTGCACTTGCGAGGCAGGTGGTGGCGCCACTGTGCTAAACCTCTAGCCCCTAATTTTCATGTTTATACGAGTACCTATTTGTGTGCACATGTACTGAGAAATCTTATTTGGAGGAATATTTCACCTGTGTGTGATAAAGTGAGCCGGAAAGCTCGGCCACATATAGCAGGATGTGCCCTCGAGCTCACGAGGGCTTAGCTTTTGGCAATACAAATACGTTTCAATTTATTTTATTTTATTTATTTTTTTGGCACCGGGGATCGAACTCGGGTCCTTGTGCTTGCAAGGCAGGCGGCAGAACCACTGAGATAAACCCCCAGCCCTCAATTTCTCGCAATAGCTAAAAATGTCCTTGCTTCTGCATTCTTGCCAAACCCAATAATTTCCAGACCAGAATACAGTGCATGCAATCAATTACTTAGCGCTGGGACTGAATGTATAAAAAACTTCATTCCTGTCGTTACCCCTCGAACAGGTATTGAGGGCCTTTTGTGTTCCGATCTCCTAGTCTCTGGGGAC